TTTGATAAAATAATACGTAATCGATAATGTTTTGTTCCATTCCATAACTAAAGGGGCTTTGTGTACTTGTACTTTATGCTCGCCTTAAAGGGATAATTTACCCAAAATAAAAAGTCGGTCATCGTTTACTCGCCCTTGACTTGTTCCAAACTTTTGAGTTTTTTTTCTTCGGTTAAACATTTTGTAAAATTGTTGGACACCAGTTGAGTTCCACACTATTTGCCTTTTCTACTATGGAAGTTATTAGTTTTCCAGCTTCAAAATATCTTCTTTTGTGTTCAACGAGAAAGAGAAACTCAGGTTTGGAAGCACTTGAGAGTGGATAAATAGTGAGTAAATGTTTTAAAATCATTTTTAGTCCTTGGGTTTTGTGTATTGGAGACCTGGGGCCTGTTTCAGTAAGGAGGTTCAAACAACTCAGAGTTTAAACTTGAACTCTGAGTTGATTTACCGAGAGATTAAAAACTCGGAGTTTTCGGTTTCAGAATAGCTGATCTGAGTTGGGTCAATCAACTTCGAGTAGACCAACTCAGAGTTAAGCGCGCAAACCGTGACTTTAAAAAGGCATTATCAATGGAGTGTAGACATTACGAGTGACTATGGTAACATCTTATAAAAGAGATCACCATTTCTTTCTCCAGCTGAACTTGATGTTCTCATGCAAAGTTATAGCAAATATGAGTGTATATATTTGAAAAGAAGCAACCATCAGTGAAGAAGAGACAGTTAGCGTGGGAAAACAGCTGCTCAAGTTAATGCCTAATTTCACTTTTTAAGTATTTAAATATTTAAGTATAATAAAATAAGTAATGTAATTTGTACTGTTTATATTTTTTTTCTAAACTTTTTTTATACATTTATTAGTTTTAAATGATTTAACAGTGCACTTGTGTGTCTGCCTTTTTTTATTGATCAAGTGATAGAGGTTAATATAACATTTAGAAGGTAAGCAGGACTAAAAATAATTTTTAGAAAGAATAATAATCCCATTAATCTAGTTACAGTGCATATTGAAGGTGAATTCAATTTAATTATTTATTTAAAAAAGGACAAGCCATTCTCGTACAGTTCTTCTGTGTGTGACTAAAATGTAGGCAATAGCTATGTTTCCATCCAAATATATTACATAAATGTATGTGCAAAACTGGAATATTGCATAACAGATGCAAATAAAATTCCATCCAACAAGTCAAAGAGAAAAAAATCGTCACTTTCTGATTAAACTGGCACCAAATATCAACAGTAAAAACAGAATTTAGTGTGGTAGAAGAAGATGCGTCAATTAATTCTTTATTTAGCCTAATTAATGTACTTGCGCCTCGATGTCAGAAGACAATGCTGAAACACAATGAACACGTGGGGGCGTCTGAAGCCATGAGACGCGGAGACTCACGCACCAGACGGTCGGAGGTAATTAATAATATACAATAATACTGAAACAGTTAAGGCATTTTAGAATGACTTAAACAATATTTAAGACATGTTACAGTGTGCTCAGCCTGCTGGTTTGTTCATTTACACACATTTTCATTATCATATGATCATGATCTTTTTTTAATGTACGTACTGTAATTTGTTCAGTAAAAGTGTTTCCATCGTAGTTTATGCGCACATTTTCTATCGAATAAAAGTTTATCCTACTCAGTTATGCGCGTTTTTTATGCATATTTTAAAAAGTTATGTGCATTATGACGTTTCCATCAATCGTTTTTATGCACGTATCCAAAATAAGCATAAAAATAGGTGGGTGGAAACGTAAGGCTAAGGCGAGAAATACCGCTTCATCTTTAAAAAAGGGGAGGAGACAGACAGAAACTGAGTTTAGAGAATAAAACCTGCTTCTGACCAGGTTAGATTCACAGAGTAAGTTACCACAGTAACTGACTCTGAGTTAAAGTTACCTCTCTTTTGGAAACAGGCTTGACTTACCCTGCTTTCTCGAGTTTAACAAACCTGCCATTTTGAAACGGAAAACCCAGAGTTTCTCTCATTTCAGGGTTAAAATACTCTGAGTTTTCAGTTAACCTCCTTTCTGAAACAGGCCCCAGATGTGCTACAAACTATGCACTAAATTGCTATAAAATGCATGTGTTGTTTTTTTTTAAATTTTTTTACAGATATGTAGTTGCCCGGGGCTACGACTGGCATGGCTACAGAGAGCTTTAAATATTTAGAAAAATCAAATCTTCATTACTTGTGAAGAAATTTGTTAGTCTGTCAGATATTTTTCATTTAAGAGATGATTCGGTCAGCGTGAAGATTTTCCTTTAGTGCAAGGACATCTCTAGATGATCTGTCTGGTATATTGAGAATGGTTTAATTAGTAACAGTCAGTCACACACACACAGGCCACGTACACACTAAGGCTAAATATGAGTCTCGCTCCTCTGATGAGTGCTTTGCTTTTTCTGCTGCACATGGGAGTGACGGCCTGTGTTACATTTGAAATCTTTCGTTTAACTTTAGTATGAACATTTTTGCTGTTTGGATTGTCATTGCGGTGTGTTTTTTCCTCCATATATTCTTGTTTTCTATTTTTTAGATTTTTAGTTTAGCTTTATTCTATTTTTTTTTCCAAAACAAAAATTTTAATAATATGTATACTATTTGTATTAGTTTGGATCAATTTCTTTGAATTTTTTACTATTTATATGGCCAATCTTACAAAAGATGTTGGTATGATTGTCATAGTTTTGAAAGCAAATCAATTTTAGTTTGACTTTGTCATGCTGTACAATACTAGGACTGAAACTTAGGAATCTTAAAATATATTCTGGTTCATAATGCATCAATATGAACATTTTGCCCAGTCAGCCACTTAAACTATTTTGGTACATTCATTTTCGGCCCGCTGGACGTCTTTTATTGGCCCATGTTAAGCATTTTTTAAATTTAAATTCAACCGCAAACAGGGCCTTGCAATGCACAGGTCTGATATTTTAAGTCAACAAATGGGGACTTTCACATAATGAAACTGAGACATGAGAAAATAGAGACATGCAATTTGAAAGGGATTAGGGCTGTGTGAATAATCTAAATCAAATCTCAATTGCATTTTGTAACGTTGTGATTGGTTACAAGAGGCTGCAATATGAAATTAAATATATTTATTATACAGTCTTACTAGCCAATTCAGTGAGCACACTTTCGTTCTGCCCCATCAGAATTGTATACCAATCAGTAATAATTGACAAATTAATATCAAAGGAAAAAACAAAAAAAATATATGGGAATATTTTGGTTTCAAAGTCACACACTGAACAAGACCAAGTCATTTTAAGAGCTTCTGTCGCAGAATTGTTGCCACGAATTACAGATAATTGAGCTGGAGCTTGACTACAAAATTAAATTGAAAATCAAATTGCAATCGCAATATCTGTCAAATAAATCGCAATTAGATATTTTCCCCAAATTGCACAGACCTAGAAAGTATGCACACTGTTTTCCAGGTGCTGCCAGTTGAAAAAAATCTAAACATTTTATTGTGCAGTGAGCGAAGTCATGTGACCGGAACCAACCAGGCAGCTTCACACTTTGTATGGAATTACACAGTAATGAAGGTAAACTAATACCCTTAGATTAACTGTTTAACAAATGCAGATACAGATTCTCTCTCAGTAATGATCATTACCTCACATTCTACCTGAATTCAGTGCACTTGTTCAGCCCAACACAGGTTAGAATTCTCTCACTGAACATAAAAAATAAATAAATGAATGAGTAAATAAAAATTAACTAAGATGAAGCAATCAAACAAACATTCCCGTGGCATTTATATGATGTTGATATTGTGATGCTGGTTTTAAAATACTTTTTGTTTAAAATTGGTTCTTTTTTTTTTTTTTTTGCGCTTGAGTTTTTAATGAACTTTTATCAAATAGTTTCACTGAATTGTATTTTATTTTTTTTTTTTTAAACTGATTGCCTGGCTCTCTAAAACCATCCCAGAGTCTAACGTGCCCCCTTGGAAAAAATGATTTGCCCACCCTTGCATTAAAGGCACCACATATAAAATAAATTCCATGATAGACCCTGATAGATCTCACTTTGGATGGGATAATCAGTATTTTGACACATTTGTCTAGTAGTTGGTTGCGCTTGCTTTTTTTTCCATTTTATTTTTTGGCTCATGTGCTGTCACTATCCTCCTCATACCCAGGTTCATCTCTCTCTCTTTCTCTCTCTCTCTCTGTTATCTGAGAGTCGTCAGTCACTCGCTCGCTCTGTCATTGAGAGAAAAGAGACTAAAAAGAACTTATGGTGACAGAAAATAGAAGCACGAGTTCAAATAAAAAGCTTTTTTTGTGGATACTTCACACACTCCTCGTTCCTACACACGAGCCTCCTTGTCCTTGGAGATTTTTTTTGGGGAGTGTTCAAGGGTAATCCTGTGCTCGTCTGATGAAACGTTCGCAGAGACACTGGAAACACGCAAACAAACACAGACGAGTGTAAAAATGCAAAAACAAAGAGCCAAAGACAACAAAAGGCTTTGCATGTGTTGTCATGAAAGCCCCATGCTATAATCTAGGATTAATGTATTTTATTATGTTTCTCTCCATCACAACAATAACATGTTGTCATCGTCATCAATAGGCTAACGTTCCAAACGAAAGCACCTTTAACATTAATTAATCAGATTGACCCAAGTAAATACGGTTTATCCTTTACAAACAACAATTCTAATGTCGTATTACTGGAGCTTATACCCCAGCGTTACCCTTTCGGAGATCATTTGGAGCGTGTGATGGTGATTTAAATGATGGTGATTTGTACTTACATTAATGTAATAACACACCAGGCGAGATTAAAGTAGTGCCCAGATGTCTCAACATGCTGCCGATATCCTGTAAAGCTGCTGGATCAAGATTCTGTTATTGGACCTGTTGAAACTGTTGATTGCCAAACATGGCTTACAAGCTGTAAATAATTATTGCTGTATCGCATGATTGTAGTGTTTTTAGCTGTCGACTTCAACTGTTCTTCTGCTCTCTCTATAGGTGCCATGGGAGGAGTTTACCACTATCATTCAGAGCATGCGTGCGCAGATGCCACTGACAAGGTAAGACATCCTCAATGCTTATAGCCTGCAATGTAGACAAATAAACCGCATTTGCAGGGGATTTAGCTGGACTACTAAAGGCTTTGGACTACAAATCGAATGACAGTCAATGCTTTGACTTGACTATTTGCATGGTTTTGTGATGTTTTATCTTGTATGGCTTGTCTGTTTAAAGAATAGCTCTTGCACAAAACAGACTGTAAGCATACATTTTGTGAGCAAAACATAGGGTGCGTCTCAAACAGCTCCCGTGTTCATGAGGCTGGACGATTTGGCCTAAAATCAACATCCTATTTAATTGAACATTTGAATTCGACTATAATTAATGTACGATTATTTTATTTATTTAGTTATTTATTTTTTGCACTCATAGTTCACTGACGGGTTTTGTACAGTAAATTTGTTCACATACTACTAGTGAGAGATTTGTGAATGAAGGAAGCATTACTTGATTTTAAAATAATTTAGGAAACGCGCACTAGATCTACTATCTATGACTATTTAGTAAACATCAATGCAGAATGACTGAAATTAAAACGCATTGCCTCACAGTCACTTTTTTTTCCTTAAAAAATAGTGAAAATAAAAAACTTGCAATTTTTTAAAGCAAAATCAAGTGTTTTTTCATATTACAAGTGGAAAAAGTAGGCAGCATTTCTACTAAATAAAATAATAAAACAAATATTTTCATGTAAATAATAATAATTTTAATGTAATGGAAAATATGCCCTCTCAAAGAATCTCTAGTACAGCTTCTAATCATCGTCAATGTAGTGCAAAGTAAGGCTCAAGAGTGGTCCATCATCCTACCTGACCAGAGATCAGATGTGTCTAGATGGCAGCAAAAGTATAAATCAGCCTTTTAAGTCTCTAAAACCTTCTGCATTGATTGATTGATTGATCCTTGCCTTGCGCGTAGTTCTGCATTTACGCTTCTGTATGTTGTTTGTGTTGCTCTTCACAACACTTCGGAAACTCTAGCTGGCAGTGGGTTTTTAAGTTCCTCTGTGTCGTGTTTCTTCGTGAGGGTTTAGTTTTTTCTGAATGCTACCTTAATTTATAAGAAGCTAAAACTAGCTCATTTATGGGTGGAAACCAATGCACGTACAACAACTTTAATCATAAGGTAAACACAAAACAAAAGTATCCATCTGGAGCTCCTCCACAGGCTTTGCACCTGTAAACACTTGCTCCAACGGGCTTGCTGCTGTCCCATAGCTCTTCGGGTCGATCCAAACCGACCAATCACAGAGCTTGTGCTACGCCTCGTTGCAACGAGTAGCTACATTTTTGAGAGGTGCGCGTGAATGTTGCACCTGACCATACATCACGTGACCACATGCGGTGGAAAAAATAATCAAAATAATTGACCAGGGACAATTAGATTGATTATGGGTTCTGAATGTCGATTTAGATTATTATTTGATTAAACACCCAGCCCTAGTTAATAATTAAGGTGCATTCACACTGACAGCGATTTTGTATCTGCTTGTCGCCATGAAGGGTTTCTCAGTAGCAGAAGTTGTTATAGTTGGGTGAAAATAGAGCACAGTGAATGGGAGAGCACAACAAAAAAATGTTTACAATCCTATTTGCTGAAGTAATGAAAGAACTCCACGATGGTGTTATCAAGACTTTCAGAAAAAGGAAAAGAATTGTGAGAGATTGATAACGACAGCCATAAGAGAGAACAATGTCAAATTTACTGTCCCGCCCATAGACACTGCGTTAAGTGCACCTTGCACACCTTGCACCTTGTGTTTTTTGTTTTTTTAATTGTTTTTATTTTGTATTTTGATGTGAAGATGATGCAATGTATATGCAAATATTCATACGTTGTTGTTTTTTGATTGATTAAAAGTAGTAAACTAAAAAAATTTAAGGATTTAAGATGCTGATGACCGTTAAATGCATCAAAACAAATGTCTGGTAAAAAGGGTTCATTGAAGTCGCTTTTGGGCGTTCCTACCTTGAGGTTGCTTGGATAGTGTTGATTATGATATTCGCTGAGTGCGAATGAGATTGTGCTGCTGAAAAAAAATTAAAACACCAACTATAAATGGAATCGGTACATAAAATACTTAATTATAAAGATAAACAAGAAAAAAAGTGTTCCTAGTTATTGCAGCTATTTATCGCATGCACAATCCAACCGGCTGCTGCAGGAGCTGAGAGTATGAGGAGTTCAACTGATGCTCCCATTGGCTGTGGCTCGCAAAAGAGACTCTTCATTTGCATAAAGTAGAAGGATTTTAACATTTTTTTGCGTTGCTAGACACACCCAAATCCGGTCTCCAACAGTCCCTGTTGCTTGTGTACCAGAAGTCGGTCACTCTCAATTAACATGAGTGGTTGCTTGTTGATTTGTCGTTGATTGTAGCTCATAGTGTGAATGGGGGATTAGGCAGTGCACTGATAAGGGAGTCAGCCATTTTAAGTGTCAAATAATTTTATATTTTTTTTCAGTGGACTGAAAGATTTGTCTCTGTTCAGAAGCGTGAAGCAAAAATCATGTGAACCATACCATCAAACATAACGGCAGATGAGAGACGTTTTTCTAAAAACAATCTGTTATTTATATTTAATATTAAGGATCATGGCTAGACAGGTTAAAAACAATCTAGCAGATTTCAGTCGATTTATAATTGTTTAATGGTTGATGTTGCTTGTAGTATAAAAATCCAATTAAATAGCTATAATGTACTTTTAAAAACGTCATCAATTTGATATATCGAAACGTTTTGTTCTGCTGCTGTTTATAAATTCCAGTTTTGATGTTGTATACGCTATATGAGAATATTCTCTATATGAGAATATTCTCAGGTCACACTGTGTCCCAATGTGTTGTCAACCAAGCTCATCATTTAATTACCAGTACATACATTTGTGTACACCACCTACCGATCCATGATTGAGACACACCCATACACATGAGGCTTACTGTATAACAGGAGCGTCTAACTCCGTTTCTGGGGGTCGCAGCTCTGCACAGTTTAGCTTTAACCCTAATTAAACACACCTGCTCAAACAAATTGAGTCCTTCAGGCTTGTTTGAAACCTACAGGTAAGTTTGTTGACACAGGGTTGGATCTAAACTCCAGTTTGACACCCCTGCAGTATAACATACTGCTGTTAAGTCTTGATATATTTAAAGGCACAATATGTCACATTTTCTTTTCATTAAAATATTCAAAAACCATTAGAACTTTAATGTGAGTCACTAGCATAAAAATGTTTTTCATCACGGTGTTAGAACAGTTGCATTATTTCCGGAGCTGTGAGGTTTCTGAGAATAACACTGATATGCACAAACGTACTCGTGGCTAATGAGAGCTTTGTAATCTGCGTCTATATAAAAGGTGTTTGGTGTGTTAGAGCTGGATTTGAAATTGACACACTTGGCATTGCTTAAGGATCTGGCAGGAGCACGTCTGCAGAGAGCAGCATATGTTTGACGAGTGTGACGGAAAGCTTTTAAAGTCAAGGTTGTGTGGAAAGCCCTTATTTGGAAATGGTTTGGGTGGGTATTATGCAAACAACTGAACTTATGCTCGTAATCTCTCATTTAGAACAGAGTTTCTCAACCACGTTCATAGAGAACCACCAGCACTGCATGTTTTGGATGTCTCTTTTGTCTGTCAGACCTATTATAGGTCTTTCAGTCTGGTCCTTCAGGAGTGTGGTTGAGAAACACTGATTTAGAATATTCCAGACTCACTAACATTAGATAGAGTTTAAAGTCTTTCTGTGAAGCGGAAGTTGCAGAGAATATTGTTTGAGTATGTTGATGAACTTACAACTGAAATTGAATATTGTGTACAGGGTGGAGCTTGCTTTTGCACATCATCCATTTCTAGTAAACTGTAGGTTGTTTTTAATCCAAATAATAACCATCTAGTTTTGTCACAAGGGTTGCATTTATTTTTCGTTCAATCATTGAACTTACCATTAACAAACGTTCACCACTGCTGCGCATCTTGATGTTCATTTTATGATTGTGCATTCCGCCGAAACGCCAGTAAAGACATGGATTACTGCAAAACAGGACAGAAATTTCATTGCAGTGATTACACATGGCAGAATACGTTATTTATATTCTCCTGGATTTTGTGTGGTGGTGTTTGTATCTGATTTCTACATAACATGTTAACATATCCTGTATATAAACTTTATTGGTGCTGTCAAACGAATTATCGCTTTCAAAAAAAAGATTGCACACATGGATGTACTGAATGAATGTTTATTACCTGCCGCCTTCCATTTTTTCAGCCAGTTTTTTAACTTTCCCACCATTATGAGCAAAAACTTTTGGAATAAAAGCTGTTCGACTTTTCTTATTTGTGCCTATTTATATTTTATAAACCATATAAAATAGAACGATTTTGATAGCGATTTCTATGTTGAAAAATCACTTCCTGCCCTCCATTTGAATCTCACGCGTCATAAATGACATCATGAGAAAACAACCTTATTGGTAAGAGGGGTGTGGTTAAGAATACTGTGGCTGAAGACATCGAACTGACGTCATCAGAGGTAGATCGCCACAAAAAAAACGCAGAAGCAAATGGTCAGATTTGATTTAAGGTTACCAAAACAAATATTTTCTCTGTGGATTAACTTGTATTAATTGTTCATCTAAAGAATAACAATATGCGCTAGCAAAATAAAGATAGTCATTATTTATTTCAAACTTTTAGAACAAATTGCTGTGTATATGCATGTAACGAATTTGACGCCATGTTTAGACGTTCAACGGTGCAAATAAATAAGAATAAACATCAAAAATGGTACCGAATATCGTTTTTTATTCTTTTTTTTAGTATCGTATCGAAGTTAGAAATTCCAGTCTTATGACAACACTTGAAGAAACCACCTTTTAAGAACATCAACCTGGATTTCTTATTATTTCAGGATATGAAAAGTTCAGATTTAAGATTCCAAATACTGTTTGGGGTCAATGTGTGTGTCGCATTATATACCAAAAGTGTGTGTACATTAAG